GGCTCGGCCGCCGGGTTTCCGGGATCTCCCGAACGCCCCACGCCTCGCTACCGGAAATCGCCGAGCGTTTACGAACCACTCGAGTGATTCTCAGGTACGCGACGCGACGCGCGACGATCGCAATCTGCGCATCGCGTGTTCACCCTTCGGCCAGATAGAGCTACCCTTCGCGCTTAATTTCTTTCGCATGACGAAAATGCTGTGCGATTATGGCTTTCGCGCTGAAACTGCATTTTGTGAAACTACGCTGTTAAACCATAGCGCAATAATTACTGTTTTACATGTTTCTTTAATTCTTTTGGTCGTGGCGTTACTATAAAACCCCATCTCCATTAACTCATGTATTTAAATGTACAAGTCAAACCGTGGCAGATACGAGTTTTTACCAGAGAATCAAACTTTCTTAAAAGGAACCAAAACCACCAGAAAAATTGTAAAAATTTCAAACTTTAGTATTAATTTAAATTAGTTTTTGGTATTTTCAGAACTTTTTGGAATAATAATTTGCAAATAATTATGTAGTTATTTTAGGTCAAAATTGTTCTAATCTTTAAGAATTTAAAATGTAATAAAGGTGATAGGATATGCTATAAAATATTTATCGTTTTATTGATATAGCACAACATAACAGTACTAGTTAAATTTTCATGAATTGTACTGAAATTGTGGGGTATCTTAATGGAAATTACCGAGAATTAATACGTATGGTCAATATCGATTAAGAATACTGAAACATTGATAATATTGCGTCGAGACTGTATGCTGATAGTGAATTTCGTAAAGTGTTGGAAATAAAACTGGAGCACCTTGTATATCACAAATTAGATACGCGGTTATAAAATGAGCGGCGGTAAAAGTGGAGTAATCCTTTGTAACATATATGTATTTTAAATTCAGTTCAATGGTTATATACACTAGCGAGCGTAATAGGCCTCTCCAGGGAAAATGGCGATATAGAAGAGAAAGGTACCATCACTTGTTGGTTTGTGGTTCGAAAATTTCCAAATTATTAAATTTGAAAATTTAGATAATTGAATGTTTAAGAATTTGAAAATATAAAAATTTGTACATTTCAGGATATAACTTGAAAAAATGCAACAGAAATTGCAAACTTGAAAAATTAAGTCCTTAAAAACTTACAAAACTAGGAACTTGGAAATTTAAAAATTTGTTAATTCAAAGAAGCCGGTTTGGAATTGGGAATTTGGAAAATTGTAAAATTATAGTAGTATTTGTTTGTATAATATTAAATAGCTTTAGAACAAAAACAATAAATAAGGAATAGAATTATAAAAATCTTCACTTCGTGCGAAACAGTTAAGAATCACCTGAGATGTTTCTTTAATACTAGAACGTTCAAGCTTCACCTATTTCAATGAGATTAGCATCCCCTATGACACACATTCCACAGGGTTTGAGGCCAATTTTTATATTCATATCTAAACGTCGTATAGTGATAAGCTACTGCAATTACTTTTAATAAGAAACTTAAACCTTGAAGATTAATGTTAGTGTAAAATATTAATATTAGTAAAATATAAAATATTAATTAGTATAAAAATTATTATAAATTAATCGACTTTGTGGATTTCTAATCTTTCAAATTTGAAAATTCGTGCATGTTTAATTTTCTAAATTTCCAAATTTCTAGATTACTTAATTTTCAAATTTTTTAATTTATAACTAGTTTAATTGTTCATGATATTCTTTGATACACATTAAACAAGTTGTAGAATTTATCATTGGCAATTGTTTTTTAAATAATTTGAACATTATCTTTTAATAATTATAACGTTATACATACGACCTAAGGATCAAAAGAATTTTTTAAATTATTTAAATATGAAACTGAAATTACGTAACTTAAATATGAATCTAAAACCATGAATTTTAAATATGAAATTGATTGGTGAAACTAATATTATAAAATTAAATGATGAAACTGAAATTATAAAATTTAATTATGAAACAAAATTATAAAATTTAACTACAAAACTAAAATGATAAACTTTGACTATGAAACGAAAATTGTAAAATTTAAATATGAAACTGAAATTATAAAGTGTAACTTCTAAACTAACATCATGAAGTTTAACTACGAAGGTAAGACTATAAAATTTAGCAGCGAAATAACCTACAAAATTTATCTATGGAGCTAAAAATATGAAGTTTAGCTATGCAACTAAAACTACAAAATTTATCTTTGAAAGTAAAATTATGAAGTGTGACTACGAAACTAAAACTCGGAAATTTATCTATGAAACTAAAATAATGGGGTTTAAATGAATTTAATATTTAATGATTTATAAAATTATGAAGTCGTAACTAAAATTGCGAAATGCAAATGCGAAACAACGTGAAGCCACAAAAGTTTCTCGGGGTTGATAAAATTAAGCATGAGGAGTAAAATAACATCGATCTTTTAATTCGGTTTCGTACAATATTAGTACACATATATTAAGATATGATACATCTTTCTTATTATAAATACGTGTTTCGTGTTACAGCTAAATGTATATTAAACCGAATCAAACAACGATGGCTTTGTGCGTTGAACATTATTTAATATTGTCTTTCCTTTCACGGAATTTTATTCATCTTGCAACATTTTGAATTTATTGTTTCCCCTCGAAGGGTGCGATGGCGGCGACGTTGACTCGAAATATGTTTCCTCGTTTACGCGTAAAATATGAAATGTTTCGGCTGCTCCTGGTAATTTTTTAACAGGGGATGATTAGTGTGATGAATATGACGAACTGTTTCCCTCGATGTGTAGTTTGTCGACGGATGAATACCGGCATGACAATGTTTGTGTCGTTACTTCATTCGTCCGCTCTCTCGCAGAGTCTCTTAAGGAACGCTAAAAAGAACGAAACGATCGATATTAACATTTCGTCTCAGGGTAAAATGGCACAAGTCGAATGACAACGAGCAAAAAAAAGTATTTACAACAGTCGTAAGTCGCGGATTCAGTGTACCGCTGTGTCAATCGAACTTGGTGCCTGGTGTTCAAAAATAAGCCATACCGAATATGATAAGCATTAAAAAAATCTGATTCGCGAAGTCCTGATTTCTTGGAAATATTTTACACGTTGTCTCAGTTTGTTCACGTGAACGTTCGTTACACGTTGTTCACATTATCACCGTGATTGTCACCGACAATTTTTATTTTTGAATAGATGATGCGGATGAATAGATAGATAAATGTGGTTGATACATCGAAGTCTGAAGAGTAAACTATGTAAAATAAATGATTTTTTCAATTTTTCAATTTTTCGATTTTTCGATTTTTCAATTTTTCAATATTTCAATATTTCAATTTTTCAGTTTTTCAGTTTTCCAGTTTTTCAATTTTTCAATTTTTCTATTTGAAGATTTCGTCTCTTACTTCGACCTATAATCCCAATATCAATATCGCTGTAATTTATAAACGAGAATCGTGTAGATTATGTGATTTATTTATACTCTGCAAACTTCGACGTATTATAAATGTATGTACTTTTAGTAAGAAATGAAAACAGTGAAAATATTTTGAATTGTATCAAAATCGTAGTTATCGATAGTGAACAATAAATAAAAAATTAATTACAGCTTTATTGTATGACAAACTTTAATGCTTAAAATGGTTAACAAAGATACTTTTTTCAATTTAAATTTTTTCAATTTTTCAACTATTCAATTCTGGAAACTTCTGACTTTCAATTATTCTACATTTTAGTTATATTTCAATATTTCAATTTTTCAGTTTTTCAGTTTTCCAGTTTTTCAATTTTTCAATTTTTCTATTTGAAGATTTCGTCTCTTACTTCGACCTATAATCCCAATATCAATATCGCTGTAATTTATAAACGAGAATCGTGTAGATTATGTGATTTATTTATACTCTGCAAACTTCGACGTATTATAAATGTATGTACTTTTAGTAAGAAATGAAAACAGTGAAAATATTTTGAATTGTATCAAAATCGTAGTTATCGATAGTGAACAATAAATAAAAAATTAATTACAGCTTTATTGTATGACAAACTTTAATGCTTAAAATGGTTAACAAAGATACTTTTTTCAATTTAAATTTTTTCAATTTTTCAACTATTCAATTCTGGAAACTTCTGACTTTCAATTATTCTACATTTTAGTTATTTAACCTTTCAATTTTTGCATTTTTCAGTTTCTCAATTTTTCAATTGTTCAATTTTTCAATTGTTCAATTTTTCAATTTTTCAATTTTTCAATTTTTCAATTTAGACATTTCATTTCTTACTTCACACTATAATCCCAATATTAATATCGTAACAAAATTTGTTCAGTAATTATGTCTCTTGAATATTTCATCATATCAGATTTATGATGCAATTTGTCGGTGACTCTCACGGTAGTGAACGCATTATGCTTAATCAATCGCGTACGTCTCATAAACTTCGGCTATGTTGCGAGAACGTACACTTTGCAAGTGTCGGTGTTCATTAATATTAATAAGCACCTGTAACTTAAAACTGAGTACAGAAAAGACAATAGAAAACTTCCATTGATAGAAGTATTACTGGAAGTTAACAACATAGATAGTTAATATAATTTCACTGACATTTATAATCGGCACAGAGTTTTGCTGTAAATTAAAGAAGTTCGTCGAAATCCGTGACGTCAATAGATAATTTATACAACGTAGCTTCACATGTGTACTTAAATTTTACAATTTAATTCGTAAATTCTTATTTAAAGAAACTTATACTTTTCATTACTACTTAATAGAAGAATTTATCAACTAAACGTTTCAAAATATTTTTAATTACTAAAAATTGATTGTTTTGTGATGTGCAAAATGTATGAAGTTTTTAAAGTACTTTCATGTGTGATGAAAGTTTGTCAAATATACTTTGTTCTTTGGTAAAAATTTGTAAAATAAATTTTTTTCCTTGGTAAAAGTTTATCAAACAATTTTTGTACTTTAGTAAAAATTTTGTGATAAAGATTAGTTAAACAATTTCAATCGTTCGGTAAAGGTTTATCAAATAATTTTCGTTATACATCTCACATAAATTTACTAAATTCGACTAAAATATCACGTTGAATTATATCATACCGCCAAGCGTTCTCAAAGGACGTATGTTCCACTTTAACTTCAGAAACATTGAAAACTCAAGCACCATTTTGTGAAATCTACGTCAACGATTCTATTGAGTCACGGACCTCGTGTATGAATAAGTCTGAAGCTTTTGTACGTGTTGCTGTACGAGAAGCAGGTTATCGATTTCAGCATCCCTGCCATGTTGAATCGTTGCGTCCTATAAACTGCGAGATGTGCGTAACGCCAGACAAGAACAAAACGTTTGTTAGTTCACAAACGACATCAGACGAAGACCAAGAAGAAGCAGAAGAGATAGAGGAGAGAAAGCTGATTTCGGAGGCATACACTACAGGGTGTACTTACGAAGGACGATTATTGTGAGACTGACATCAGCTCTGCTTATAATAGCACCATCATCTTCTTCAAGAACGCTGTAGAACACAAAACACGTGGAAATGTCATGTGACGGGGAGAAAAGGAGCTGAGGGTTCGAATCCCTGCGATTTCCTGGACATTTTTGGGCTGCTGCGTAAAATTCTCTAAGGGTCTACGACTACATAAAACACTGGGATTTATGGGGGCGGAGGTAGTTCTTTCGAGTAGAACTTCTACTGCAAAATCAACGACTACTGGTAAAATGTAAACAAAGGCTTCTTCTATAGCTTACTGCTGCTTTCCTTTTTTATAGCGATGCTCTACATTATTGTGACTGATGCAGCTCATTTAACACTCTTACTTTCTTCACCTATTCCTGAGATGCACGTTTCTGTTTTGTATGTGGATCGATACTTACGAGCATAGGGGATGAAACCGTCCTCGTCTTCGGGGTCCATACAGTCCTTCAGTACTTGGTCTACTTCTGCATCCTCGAGACGTTCACCTGTTACATAAGTTAAAATGATTATTAGTTGTCATATACTTCTTTTTGAAACTTCGTTTTTAAACCTGAAGAGCGTTAATCTTTGCTATTGTTCCTTTTACCTTGTATATCGCTGATAAATAAAAGTATCATTCATTTTTTATAATTATCATTTCATTTATTATTACTAAATAATAATTATTTATTACCTTATAGTGTTTACTTACCTTTGTACTATTTTATTTGTTGCTTTATACTTTTATTTATTTATCAGATTTTTAGAAGGTTTATAAGTTATAATAAGTTTTAACTGTGACCACTCTATAGCAACTGGCAACACGAAAGATCTGTTATCAAATTTTTCAATTTCTCCGAAAATTTAAAACAAGTTAGATTTCTAAATTTGAAGATGTGTCATTTTTAAATTGTATAAATGTAAAAATTTGCAAGTTGCGTTTAACTCAGTAAACTATCGTTTTAAAATAAAAATACGAGCAGAGCAGAGACACCACTAGTTGATATTTAAAAATAAATAATGTTCAAGTAACATAGTATTATGTTTAAGTAACTATTGATAACTAAATGTATGATAAATAAAATAGATAAATTAAGTAAGAACAATGACAGTACCAAGTGCAAGAAGTGTGTGCGAAAGTTCAGCGGCAAGCATGGTTCCATTTTCTTGTTTATCGTATAGCTTCAAACACTCAATGAAGTCTTCGTAGACCCCTTGATCCTTATCCTTTTTGCACTGGCTATAAATTGGCAAGAACTCATCGAGTTTCATCATCTTCTCGCCCTTCTTTTTCGTTCCTCCAAGCTTTTCTATGGTAGCGTTGGTAGGGTTGAGGTTGAGGGCCCGAAGGACGTTACCAAGGTCGACTGCGTCGATGACGTTGGTGCCATCGGCATCGTAGATCGAGAAGGCAAATTCGGCCTCTATTTAACGAAACATAACCTACAAATTAGCTTGTGATCTCCGAACGTATTATTTGTCATATACAAGGTGACCTAAGTTGTTTTTGCAGAGTATCGACATTATACAAATAAATCCGTACATTATACCGAAATTTCAAATAAATGTAAAACCGTAAATGTTTTAGACTCATGAAATTTTAGAAAGTTGAAAATGTTTTGGACAACTTCGAAGGAAAGAACTGTACCAGATGAAGAATTGTTAGTTAATATGGTGAAATGTAACAGTATTTTACTGGTTTGTGAAATATAACTTAGTTTTTAAATAAAGTAATAAGTATGAGAGACAATATTATCACTGAAATTCTTTTTTAATATTTCTATAGCTCTTTTTCAATGGTCCGTTTAAATACTGATGAACGCTCCACTTAATTTTGGGGAGAGTTGAACGAATAAAATTATTTCAAATACAAATTCAACAGCATGCGTTGAAAATTTATTTAATGAATGGAGTTTTCTTTCACTTCTAACTATTGGATAACTTCATTATTAGTTAATGATAGCTGATTTTTAAGTAGAATAAAAATAGAAAACGTCATAATGTAAATAAGAAAATGAAGTTTAATTAGAAAACGATTGTTGACTTTTCTAATGTATTTTTTTTAATTTTTCTTCTATAGTTAACTCCTTATTCTGTACAACCCTCAGCGCACCTCACTGATTCCAACTGTATTTTCAATATGATGAAATAATTACCGTATTAGTTACAGATTAAAATGTAATATGTAAAGTTTGAATTCAGTAAAACAGTTATCAAAGAATTCTTGACCTGAGAAATTCAGTTTTTTATAAATTTTATAAGTTCATCATATACTTTTGTTACAAGTTTTTAATCAAATCTTTTCTTATTTCTATTAATTATGTGCTGCCACCATTTTGTGAAATAAAACTTGGAGCACCCTTATTCCACATTTTATTGACCTTAGGTATCCGCATTTGATAGGTAAGTTCTAAATGCGTCTCTTTAATTTCATTTTATAAATATCTTCTCGAGGCGCAAGATTATTTGTTTTCGTTCCATTTAGAAATTATTTCAAATATTAGGCTGGCAGTCAAGTTGGTTCTGTCTCGTATTTTACTTCAAAGGCGATCTAATTTTAGTGCAAGTCTGAGAAATGACCACAAATATTAGATAAGAAAATTATTATTATAATAAATAATTTTGGGGGATGAAAGTTTCTAATCTAACAGATGGGATTGATATATGTTATATGAAACACTATAAAATCCAAATAGCTTCTTGATAAACATTTTCCCTTTTTTTGAATTTCGATAATAAAACCACTGTCACATGAAGATAAAAATTGTTCAAAAAACGAATTAAATTTTGAACGAGGATTTAAAGATATTACTTTAACATAAGTATTATATTTCGAATCGTTTATAAGTAATCTATTGTTAAACTTATTTTCTTTTTATAATTACTTCTCGTCGAGTGCTCAAAATATAAAAAATATCCCGTGTAACAGTAGTTAATTTTACTGGTTTGGTCTTATTTTTATCATGCGTTAAAGTAACAATAAAATTATGAGACAGTCACGTAAATTATTTCTGGTACGAGAAAATATTATTTGCAGAAGGAATTTCCGAAAGAAAAAAGAAATGAGATTCTGTAGGTTTACATCAGACCTAAATTATGAAGACACCAATTATGTTAATTATTATAAAACTATAAACACGGTAATGAGGGAAAGTTTAAAATATATCCACTTAAAGAAGTTAAAAAAATAGAAATTTCAGAAGGTGAAACTGTTAACCCCTTGCCATCAAACGAATCTGATTCGTGACTCACTCACAGTCCAAATCTTCTAAAAACTTTTAATGTACTTGCATTTGAAATTTAAGTCTATAAATTGCATAGTCTTAGTTCCCTGAATGCAAAACATTTTAACTTTATTTGTTTTCATGCTATAGTAGTGAATAACTAATTTTGACTGACTTAACTGATAAATTATCCAAATGATTAAAATTAAGAAATATCAAAATTTATTTATCTTTCTTATGAAAATAAACATCTACTTTCATCAGCAAAACTCTCCAAGTTTTAAAAAAATTCCCAGATTCCCAAGTTCCCAAAGTTCCACATCAAATCCCATTCTTCCCGACGGTTCCGATTTGATCACAAACTCAAATTTCAAAACTTTCATACATTTCCTTTAATTTTATCATCTGACATTGGTTCCATTTAAAGGAACTTATTTCCGCCATAGGCTTTTACTGGGCGCTTCACATCACGGTTACCCTATAAGTTTCGTATCGACAAATTCCAACGCAATCATCAACAGCGTTCCCCATCTTCCTGCCCCCATAATCGGAAATAAAAAGTGCCTCACTTCGACAACTTCCTTCAAATCGGAAAAAGTTTCCTCGATCATTTTAAATGAAGAATGCACAACGTGAAATCTGGGTTAATATCAGCTGAAGCGTGGCTGTTCGTGCGTACCTGGTTCAAAAATATAGTTCTATTTTAAGGCGCAGCAGCTCCCACCCAGCAACCGATTCAAGAACTTGCTGGTGGAAGTAGTGGGTCAGATTACCCCCGCCGAGCCATATAAGAACACAGTAGTAACTATTTTTGAAATGGTGCTTCCCATTCGGGGTGATTACACCTCTGCTACATCGTTTGCTAACGATTACGTAACACGGTATAGACGCTACTCAACGTGAAACTATGCGATACAAGTGCAGACCCATTTGCAAAACGTTCCAACCCCTTAAATGAAACGCAATTTTTTAACAGAGTGCTTGTGGCCAACGTTCGACACACGTGAACTTTTATCACATTTTTCTAGGGTGATATTTTACGGAAGTGTATCACAAGCACATTTTTGATCTTTACTCCCTTCACGACATTTCAATCTTCACGGGCAATTTTCCTCACTTCCGCGGAACGCTTATTACTCGATACACTCGATACTTCACCGTTGTCTCAAGAATTATTCGAAGATTTTTTATAAGCAAGAAACACGTACACACAAGGAAACGTTTTCCATATGTTTTACTCACTTTCGACTTCCCTGGCGCTAAGGTCTGCCTGCAAAATAAAAAACACGATCATTTAAGTTTAGTAATATTAATTTAGATATTTATATATTTTATTTTCATGCGGTTATTATATTTCAAGTCAATATAAATAAAATAACGCTTAATATTTTAAGTTAGTATAAGTGAAATACTTCGAATTTGTATAAGTTCGAATTGTAAGAATGTTAACACATTTTAAGTCAGCATAAGTTATTATTTAAGTTAGTATAAAATAATATGTATTTCAAGTTAGTATAAGTAAAATTTTAAGGGTAAGCAAAACATTAACACATAATATTCTAAATTAGTATAAGTAAATTAGTACATAATTAACGTTAGTATAAATCAAATATCACATTCTTTAAATCAGTATAAATAAATCAACGTATACTCTAAATTCAAAATATTTTCAAAAACATACCCAAACCCAACATACCCAAATATAAAAACGTACCCAATACAAAATTATCGTGAACAATAAAAAACAAAAATATCCCGAAACAAATGATTTAAAAAATGCAGCAGAACGTGAAGAAGAAATGCAATCGAGTTAGCACAAATTGTTAAAGAATCTCTCGAGATAAAAGTGTAAGTCTCACCATTGTAGTGTGTCTGGTGCTACTGGATGTTAACCGAACGGAGCGTGAACCAGAAGTGGTATCGGGTGTTACCAAATTTATTCATTTTATTTCTGTAGATGGCGCAGTGATCAGGACACACGAGAATTACAAGGAGGTCCAGACCGAAAGGCTCAGTTCGGGCGAACAGGGTATCGGCAACACCGCGGTCCAAAAACAGTACGAGAGGCAATCGCGGTTTTAAAACGTGCTTCCTACTACGATAAATGGTTTTCGACGGTAGCGTTCGTATGTCATGGCTGCCAGATCTGCAACGCAGGGTATACGCGCCAAACAAAAATACCCGTCAAGCGGCCTTCGATATGTGCCCTTAACATCCCCGATTACCCTAAATGCCCAAGATTGTATATTCGTCGTTGACCCCAAAATTTTGACCAAAACCGGTGACTGTATTCAGAAAGTATGTACCAGGTACATCATCGCATCCACTATGTCTGAAAGAACGCGTGGAATTTGTTTCGCGTCTCATATAACTCTGCGAGAGTTTAGCGTACGCGGACTATTTCGTGGCCAGGTGCCGATTAAACTGGGCAGTTATTTTTATTACCTCGACATGTAAATGCATTTCTGTCTTAAAAAGTAGGTTTACAAGTTAAGTTCCGAAAAGTAATCGGTCGAGGACATCACGATGCAGTCATTTTTTCCGACGACCAAAAATGGTGCGCAGCAGTTTCCGCATTCTACCTAGGATGTTCTTCTTCTTCTGGTTCCTCGATAACGAGCTGCTGTTCTTGCGAGATTTTTTCTGGCTCTCGCTGCGAGCGGTCTTTGGAGATTGCGAGGTGCTGGAGGGAAGAGGAGAGGATACGATTTCTTCGATCGCCACGTCTTCTAACGATAAGTTCTTCGGGAAAGGTACCGAATGGCTTATGGGCGATGATGTTAAATCGTATGCGAGTTCACACGTGCTACTCCTGAAGTTGTTTCCGGATGGGGAGCTGTTTCGATCGGCGTCGTCGACGTTGTCGATCGTTCTTATGAACTGTTCCTCGGATTCTTCCCAAACAGCAATTTTATCTTTACTGGAGTTCGGCTCTTCTTTCTCGTTGACGAGTTCTTCCACTTTCGTTTCGAGTTCTTCGATCATTCGATGAAGCAGGTTGATGGAGACTCTACTTTCTTCGATCGAAACGTCGGGTTCTTTTTCTTGACGGTTGCGGCTCGGATCTGATGTTGTCTCGATTACTGCATCGTGAATTATTTGATGCATGTCCCCTTGACCTTGAGTGACATGCGTTATGGTCGAGATTGCGGGAGAAGTATTGCCGATACTGCATACGGCGTGTTTTACCTGCTTAAATAGTAAAATACTGATGTAACGAAGTTGAGATATATCAAAAGTTGAATTTGGTATTTTAAAATTCATTATAATATTTAAAGCGATTTGTATTGTTCAAATATTTATGTATTGTTCAACAAATATTTATCTATTTATTGTTTAAATATATTTATTTAATGACATTTTGTAAATGTATTATACGTTTTAACTTTTGATTATAGAGGCAGACTCTTATGTAATGGCTTAAATAAACACTGCGGTTTTTCGTTATTTTAGAACAAAAATGGCAGGAGGTTATATCTGGCAAAGCTAAATATGCTGTATAAACAATTTCGTGATGCAACTTACAAGCTCCACTGCAACGTATAACCGATTAGGATTTTCGAGTAACGAAATTTTCAAGTTTCCGTATTTCGAAATTTTCAGATTTGTTCCTTAAATTCTTATGCTTCAACAATTTTCAAACATATCCTTAAATTCCCATTTTTCCAAATATCTAAATTTTCGAACCTTCAAATTCAAATATAAAAATTCTCCCAAATTTTCCAAAACTATATGCATCAATACAAGAAACAAATTCATCTATACGTGAAAATCCAAATTGTTTGCAATATTAAAGTTTGTGAAGTTAAAGATATTGTATTCTACATGTTTTTGTTTTCACGAATGTAATTTATAAAAATATTCAAATAAATATATTTAACAAAATGTAATGTCTTATAATATTTTCTGTGTGTTAATTAACACCATAATCTACAGTTAGCGAAAAATATACCATTTACACTCTTTCAGACATATTTTCAAAATTGATCCAATTTAGTTTAAAGAGATTTGATGAGTAAATAACTAAGCCCGTGAAAATTAAAAAAATATTTTTTGTAAATTTAAATTAGTGTGTACAAGTTTCCGAGACAGTTTTTATTTTACAATAAATAATACTTGATTGGTAATGAGTATATTTATGAATAATTCTGTGCAGTAATCGCGAAAGTGCAGTTAGAAGAATTGTATCTCCCGCCAATATGATTACAATTTAATATTTTTCTTTAAAATTAGAGAAACAAGAGTACAGATTGTGTTAGAATATTTTTAATACGTAACAATAGACATAATTATTTTCAAATAATTTTACATAGAATTATTATTTGTTTTTTTGTTGCACTATAAAAAAAAAGTTTTATTTTCAAAGTTCAAACTAGAATTCGATCATGTTAGAATTGTCAGTAATCAACAAAATTATACACAAAGCTGTTATTTATTTCTTTATTTACTGCAGAGAATTTTGAAATTTTATATGTTGAAAATTTCATCGAAATCAGTCGATGCAGAAGAAACGATTGGTATCGACATATGTAAAAACTGTTAGGTTCATTATAATTACAAATCATTACTGTTTTTACTTACTTGTAAACGTTTGTAACATTACAGCAATCATAAATCAACGTAAATTACCGCAATTCGATTGTGATTAAAATCCACAAAGTTACTTTTTGAATCTTCATTACAAAGAATAAAAAAGAACGTTAACTATTTTATTTGCAATTTCAAGCTTACATTTTTTAAAAATGCCGAAAATGTTAATAAACCGATTCATGTAGTTCCTCATACATCAACTCTTTCACTTAAATTTAAAAAGATACCTTTTACCATCTTACTTTCTTCGATCGTTGTAAAATAAAATTTATATTTAACAATAAAACTTTGCCATTTATTTGTCTAAAATTCACCTGCTTTTCTAACGTGGACAAAGTAGACGACACAAAAGTTGAATCGCCGATTTGCAGATTATGTAAACCGCGCACCATTTTCTCGATCAACTCTGTGCTTTCCGGTTCTGTACGCGAGCGATCGTAGATCTGCAGCGTTGATCGTGTGGATTGCGATTCGATGCCATCCGATTCTTGTCGATTATCCAGCATTCGTAGCTTTTCTGGCAAGGTTATTATCGTTGATTGCAATTTGTCTAGACTAATATTTCTGCTAATATTTGCAAAAATCGTGCTTAAATGTTTACATAAGGTGAAGTGGGGTAAGTGCAGACTGGTTTTTGTAAAGTTGGTATTTAAACGTAAGTATTTTCAATCTGCTATGTAAATACTTAACGCTGTCAATATCGAACGCTTTGCACAATTACTACTATTTAATTAATATTAACTAGGACCTTAATTTTCCTTCTACATTTTGATTTTGATAGGGCATTGTTTAAAATGTCAACTACTCTGTACTTTCCCCGAAAATGGGGTAAGAGCGTAACTTGAAGTTAAATACTTTGAAACTTTATTTCATGTGCAATAGGGCAAGAGCAGAATTATTAACAAATCTGCTATAAAATGCTTTTTATTGCATTATGCAAGTACTCTATACTACAAACAAGTATTCTTAGCTGAAATATAAAAGGGAATATAGTGAAACAAAACAAGGAAACAAGCATACTAAATGGAGAAATTTCGCTCATATTGTAATAAAAGTAGCCTGTATACGCACTTGCCTGGTTTACGAATTTACCCCTTTTCTCTTTAATCTTATTAATGGCGTATATGACTATTTAAATATGTGACGAGCAATATATTTAATTTGAGCATTTTCTTAATTGACTGGGCGTTGAATACCCAATTTTTAGGCAATGTGCATATTATTTTACAAACTTCTGACATTTTATATAATGTCCACTGTTGAGTCGGGTATTAGGTTAGGTTAGGTGAATCTAACCTCTCCGTGGTTCAACCTGAAATAAGGACTATAATTGTTCTGTTCCACATGGTCTTTCACAAACTTTTCCAGATTTTTCAATGTTATAAGTATATAGTGGCCCTTAACTCCTTAACCTATACTTTTCTAGGCAGCTGCCTCGTTTACAGCCACCTAATTATTGTTACAACTTTAAGACAACTAAAGAATGTTAAAATATTAGGCAGCTTTGCCTCTATGCTTGATAATACAAATTATAATTAAAAGTAAACCCAACATTAAATTACTGTGAAAATACGAGTCTGGTTTATCACCCAACTGTAGTGTGCGTCACGTGTGTGTCGCGTAGCCGTAGGTTAAGGAGTTCAAACCTAACCTAACCTAACTGCCACCCTCTAGGCATTCTGTACAATGACCCGACATTTTATGGACTGACCAAAACTTGTTAGGACCATGTACGATGACTTTCCGAACGCATTCTACAAAATGTCCGGTCATTTTATAAAATAACCGCGTTGAACACATTGCTTATAATGTACACATATTAAATGATTTATATATCAAGATAAAATAATATCCTGCAAATTGATACACGATGTTATTTGAATATTTGATAAATAATATTTAACCACGTCGTTCGCTTAATGAGATAATAATTTACCGTTGCTGGGATCCATGGAGTCGAAAGCTTCCAGCATTATCTTGTCAATTAAACTTCTTGCAAATGCCTCGACCATGATTTGAGGCATCCTCAGTTTCACAATCTGAAATCGCAGCTGTTGCGACTCGCAACGATCGTCATATTTTGTATGTGCATGGCAAACATGCATTGCCGTAATTGGAAAGGGTCCGAGGGGACCCGACAAAAAATTTTCGTAATAAGTACAATACTGGATATAGTGGGATTCCCTGGGGATAATGGTGAGCAGGGGGAAAATACATTACTGGTCGCTGTAATACTTGAGAATCATTATGAGTGGTAGCGTTCTGAGTGGTTTGTGACTGGTAGAGATTTGTGTTCTGTAATTGAGAAATTTGGTGATTTGGAAGTTTGCGTGTTGGGAATATTGAAATTTGAGAATTTTGGAATGGTGAGATCTAGGAAAATATTGTAGATATTTGAGAATTTGGGAATTTGGAAATTTGGAAATTTGGGAACTTCAGATTTTGGGAATTGCAGAATTGGGGAATTTAGGAGTATAATAATTTGGGAGTTGAGGGAAAATTAGGGAATATAGTGATTTTGGAATTTATAAATTTCGGAATTGGGGAATTAGGAAATTAGGAAATTAGGAAATTAGGGAATTGGGAAATTAGGGAATTGGGGAATTGGGGAATTGGGGAATTGGGGAATTGGGGAATTGGGGAATTGGGGGATTGGGGAATTGGGGAATTGAGGAATTGGGGATATGGGAATCAGTGGAATTGGGGAATTGGAGAATTGGAGAATTGGAGAATTGGAGAATTGGAGAATTGGAGAATTGGAGAATTGGAGAATTGGAGAATTGGAGAATTGGAGAATTGGAGAATTGGAGAATTGGAGAATTGGAGAATTGGAGAATTGGAGAATTGGAGAATTGGAGAATTGGAGAATTGGAGAATTGAGGAATTTAGGAATTGGGGGACTGGGAAATTAGGAAATTGGGGAAATGGGAAATAGAGGAATTGGGGAATGCAGGAATTCACGAATTTAGTAATTTGCAAATTTTTAAATTTGCTAATTGGAGAATTGGGGAATTGGGGAATTTAGGAATTTAGTAATTTGGAAATTGGGGAATTGGAGAAATTAGGAATTTAGAAATTTGAGAATTTGACAAATTGGGAACTTGGGAATTTTGGAACTCAGGAATTTAAGTACATAGAAAATTTGGAAATTTAGAGATTCGGAAATTTGTATATTGAAAGTTTGGAAATTGGAAATACTAAAAATTTTGAAACTCGTAGTTTGAAAATGCAAACTTGAGAGCTTCAAGACGTGAAAGTTTGATAATTCAAGAATGCCGAATGACTTGTATCTTCATAAACATGCAAATTTTAAGATTTGCAAATTCCAAATATAAAAACTAGGAAATTTTAAAATAACTAAGAAAAGTTAGAAATTTCAAATTTTTGATACTTAAAAATTCATACATCTGAACATTCTTATATTTGAAAATTAGTAGATTTCAAACCTTAGAAATGTGAATATTCAGTACTTTATAAGCTTCGAAGAACTTTAGAATTTTAAAAGTTTGAAAATTTCGAAACTTTTACATAATATCCACCAGCTTGCATCACTAAGAGCAAGCTCTTAGCTTTGCTTATATCATCATTTTTCTTATATCGTCGTTTCTTCAGAGGAAACTGTACTCTTCAGTAATTCCCTAGTTCTTCCTGCATTCTGTCAGTTTTTCGAAAGAAATCTACTTAACCGACCCCATACAAAAAATCTAATTACATCAATGCTATACCTGAATTTGGCTAATTATTCATGCTTCTCATTATTTGCATATCTTCTAGTTCGACCAACATTAATCAATTAGTACCAAAATAAAATCGAACGTGAATTCGATGTGAAGTACGATATCCGTTGAGGGTCATCAGCACCCTACAGTGAATTCAAAAAAATGTCTCATGTTCACAAAAGATTTATCACGCTTTCAAAATGTTATCCACTATACCTACCAATAAAATACCGCAACTTTGAATAATAATTTAATGATTACAAGCCAACGTCACTTACCAGTAAACATAACCTCTACACTTTTTAAATAATTTTAAGACGTAAAATAATTTTCCGACGTTTCAACATATTTTATGTTTAAACAGGTTAACAAGTACAATTCTGATTAAACTGTACGAGGGAAAATATTCAATGATTTCTATTACTATAAATTGTATCTACGATGCATCTTTCGAAAACAATTTTATTGCCGCAGTAAACAATTTTACTCATAGTTGTGATACAAAAACATTAATCTTTTATGAATTAAAATAGCAGATATACTCCGTTTTTAAATTATTTCAAAGATGGATCAAGGCAAATACATAGAAGTAACTATTGTCGAATCAGAAGAAATTCCCACATCTGACACGTGTTCTATGAAAGCTTCAAGCACAAATCAAGCTCACGACAGATCCAAAGTTCCTCATCAACGTCTTCAGAACGTTTCAATTTCTTCGAACTTTAAATCAAACATCGAGTGTCCGTCATTTCAGAGAAGAACAGACTGCTTCAACAAATTGGATCAACCATTAGATATTGATCTGCTGTTACGATATTATGCGTGCAATTCTAGCATGGAAAAATCTATTAACAGCGTTCTCAAAAGCATCAATGAGAGGTGTTTAGATTCTGTCGAAGGTTACGAAGATACTCGAGGTCCCTTAGTTGAGCTCCGTGCAGCCTCTAAAATTTGCGATTCGCTAAAAGAATCTTCATCCCCAAGCTCTCTCTTTCGATTTCACGATATTTTGTCGAAATTACAGCGTCTGATCGGTTTGTGCAGTGAGAAAAAATTGGACGAAATTCTGTCGAACGACCCCTCGATGCAAATGTGTAGACACTGTGGCGTGATTAGTTGCTCAAAATCTTTGAATCCAGTGGAACCCAGAAAGTCTCCTCCGAACACTTCTTACTTTTTAAGTACAGACATATTTTCGAGTAGTACAGAAATAGAATCTCGGAAACAGATAAAAAAATCGAACAAAAAGGAGCAAGTGAAGAAAGAAAGATACGATCCGCAAAAAAAATTTACTTCTAAACATTATAAGAGTAGTAAAAAGAATTGTATGAAACAGGAAATTGTGAATCGACGGGTGGAAACTATGGTAGCCGAGCGAGAAAATGATAGTAAGATTCCTGAAAAAGTAATTGAACTGCTGGATCAAAAATTGTCACCTTTCAGAAGAGAAGAAGGAATGAAAACTGATTCAGCAATTGAATTGTCTCAGACGAAGATCGATAATATCAAATCTAAAAATGTAATTAAAAACAACGCTGGTGCCAATTTTGCAAATGGCTTTTCGTCCGATAAACGTTTCGACGATTATAAACAGGAGGTAGACGTATCGTGCAACAAAAATAACCTAAACGAGTCTACCGAAAGAATAGTGAAGGACATCTTGTACGAGACACCGAAACGGGAATTTGAAGCAGAAAATTTGATTACAGGTTCGAGATGTAATCAGAATCGGTTGACAAGTCCGCAAGAAAACACTCAGCTTGTTAATGTAATGGCGTGTTTGGCACGTGGCCGTCCTGAATTGTTAGGCAAAAGGAAGAAAGAACTCGTTTCGCAACCCGATGAAACGTGCGTGCATTCTAGATGCTCCGACCAACATAGTTTCATTCTGCACGCTGGCCAAAATGATAATGCGCGATTAAATTTAGATTCTTTCATGCACGAACCGATAAGCGAAAAATCGAGGAGTTCTAAACGTTCAAGCGACCTTAGAACAAGCAGGTATAAAAACGAACATAAACCTCTCAAATCCGTGGAGTCTTTGACATGTCTCATGGAAGAAGATTCACTGGAAAACTGTGCGAACATAGCACAATCTACCGAAAGCGAAATCAGTTCCTCGTCTTGCGAAAATATGATTCGTGAATGGGTGAAGTCTTCAATGGATAAGGAAATTAAAGGGCAAATTGTTTCAGAACAGTCTACAAATCGTTCGGATGCAGAACTGGGTATTCAAGCTACATCGATCGCACAACGCCATTATGGGACCCACAGTCTGAAGAAAACATGGCGGTCCATGACGCCGAGGCGTCCACAGAATTCTTTCGGACAAACCATGTCGCTTGACTCAAAGCCTGTTCAACGATTCAAGGCCTTCAGAAAAATCGAGAGTGCTGGAGGGAAATTCTTTAGGAAACAATCGTTTGAACTCTTCAAGAAGCGGTCTACAGAAGATATGAACGCGACTATAAAGCTTCCTGGCAATCATTCTCTGGGTGATTATTTTAAGAACATTAAACGTCGGATTGTTTACAATGAATCGTCCTTGAGGAAGGTTGTTGATGCAGGAATACCAGAAGAAGTAGAAGCGTTATGGTTGTACAGGAAGGTCCTGGAGAGCACGGAGAGGATGGAATGGCAGAGTTTTCAGCGCTTCGTCGAGGAACTGCATCCTAACCACAAAGACCTTTGGCGTAGCATTTGCGAGGTTATCAACAGCGAAGCACGTAGATTGGAGGAAAGTTATAGCACAGAAGTGTGTATAGAGATCACTTCCGCTTCCTCCAAAGAGAGCGGAACGTGCGACGACGAGATCGTGTTCGAGATGGACATTACACTCGAGGAAGTGAAGAGGTGTCTCCATAGGCAGTTGGCTTCCACTGAGAAAGCACAACTTGACATTCTTCAGAGAGTCAATGAAGTTATTAAAGTTCGAAATGATGACGTTTGTGATACTGAAGCACTCTTCAATCAAGCTGAATAGACAGTATCGGATGCTTTCAATTTTGCTTGCATGTAACATTGATTTCCTCCGCCACATTATCGTGCGCCTCTAGTCTCGTTCTTTTCTCGTGTTTTTTTCCAAGCATACTATTTTTGTGCTAGCCAACTTTCAAGATTCTTCTAGCATCGATAATAGTCTATTTTTCTTCGACTCAAATTATATTGTTTACTTCTGAATCAAGTTTTTGCTGATATTTCTTTTACTGCTTTTGGGATAATATTAAATTCGTATTTTGCTTCAAGTTTAAGAACTGATTAAGGATTAATTAAATACGAAGGGAATTTTATATTTAAATTAGGTTTACATTATAATGGAATTTTGAACTTGCTTAAATCCGTGTTTTCGTTTTTCAAGATTGATAATGTCAAATAATAAAATTAACCCAGGTACGATGCTAAAAACTAAAGAAAAGGTATTGGCTGGTGACTTCTATTTTGTTTTAACAAAAAGAACGAAAACGTGACGAATATATTATGTAAAAATATATTATATTTATGCAAATATAAAACATTATGTAAAAATATACTATTTGTTTACTACTATATAGTATTATATAGTATTTAATTGCTTCATTGTAATAAAAATGGTAGGAAGGTTTAATATATAAATTGTTTTATTGCGAAGTTCGTTTACCTTGAGATCACAGTCTTTGGAGTCATATTTTACATTCAGGAATTAGATTAAAAGTTAATAACGATGAATATAGTTTTTAAAAATAAAGCAATGCAATATTTCTGAATTTCCATGTTTTTAGATTCCTAAGTTTAAATTTTGTAATTTGAAGATTTAAAAATTTTCATTAGATCTAATACTTAGACATGCAAATATTATTTAAAAAATTCTTAAATTGTTAAGTTTTCGATTTCATAGTTCAAAAATTTTTGAGAAAAAAATTTTTCAAAAAAAATCAATTTCCCAATATTCTAAATCTTGAAGCTTTCAAACTACCAATCTCCTAAATTTTTTAATTTCCAAAGTTTCATAATTATGAGTTATTAAACTATCAATCAATTTATCAATTTATCAATTTATCAATTTATCAATTTATCAATTTATCAATTTATCAATTTATCAATTTATCAATTTATCAATTTATCAATTTATCAATTTATCAATTTATCAATTTATCAATTTATCAATTTATCAATTTATCAATTTATCAATTTATCAATTTATCAATTTATCAATTTATCAATTTATCAATTTATCAATTTATCAATTTATCAATTTATCAATTTATCAATTTATCAATTTATCAATTTATCAATTTATCAATTTATCAATTTATCAATTTATCAATTTATCAATTTATCAATTTATCAATTTATCAATTTATCAATTTATCAATTTATCAATTTATCAATTTATCAATTTATCAATTTATCAATTTATCAATTTATCAATTTATCAATTTATCAATTTATCAATTTATCAATTTATCAATTTATCAATTTATCAATTTATCAATTTATCAATTTATCAATTTATCAATTTATCAATTTATCAATTTATCAATTTATCAATTTATCAATTTATCAATTTATCAATTTATCAATTTATCAATTTATCAATTTATCAATTTATCAATTTATCAATTTATCAATTTATCAATTTATCAATTTATCAATTTATCAATTTATCAATTTATCAATTTATCAATTTATCAATTTATCAATTTATCAATTTATCAATTTATCAATTTATCAATTTATCAATTTATCAATTTATCAATTTATCAATTTATCAATTTATCAATTTATCAATTTATCAATTTATCAATTTATCAATTTATCAATTTATCAATTTATCAATTTATCAATTTATCAATTTATCAATTTATCAATTTATCAATTTATCAATTTATCAATTTATCAATTTATCAATTTATCAATTTATCAATTTATCAATTTATCAATTTATCAATTTATCAATTTATCAATTTATCAATTTATCAGCTTATCAACTTATCAATTTATCAATTCATCAATTCATCAATTTATCAATTTACTAAATTGACAAATTGACAAATTATTAATTTGTTAAGTTATCAAATTATCAAGTTACCAAATTATTCATTTATGACGTTGTCAAGTTATCAAATTACCAAACTATCAAACTACCAGATTATTAAATTATTAAATTGTGAACAACAACAAAAGTGATTATTTCCTACCTCTATGACGAAATTATTAACCTAGCCAAAGTTACTCTAATTTATGATATATAATTAACATATGTAATGTGTTATTACACTTGTATACATACAGAATATATTCTGCAAACAGTGCAAAACAGAATATACCTCTAATCACGTAACAAACTTCCACACAGCATTCTGCCTTTCCTACCTCACAAAGTTACTCTAACGTACCTAAATTAATAACATGCATTGTACTATACAATGCATTCTTTCACATACGTATGCAAATCATACGCATTACACATTGCAAAATATGTATATGTATTATACAAACATTGCAAAACACATGTATTAAACAAACATTGCAAAACATATGCATTGCACAAACACTGCAGAACAGAATAACCCATACTGCACAACAGCAAGTTTAAGTCCAAACTTCTGAAGAAGTTACAGAACTTCAATCACTCTGTTACTAACCATCACCAGTTTAAGGTTTATGACAGCTACTTAGTGTCACCCTGACTCACGTTAAGTTCAAGGTCATCGGTTCATAAAAAGCCACATAAATATCCCCAGTTATCTGAGACTGTTTTTAGCGATGAACCTGTGATGGGCTGATCATCGTATTTTGTTGACGCAAGGTGGGCTAGGTGAGTAAATGGGTTGGTAGGGGCGCGTTACGAGAAGGGTGGGTCGCTCCTGGTAAAGTAGGGGTGGTCCAGCGAGCAGATTCCTGGGCTGATCGATGGAACGACCGGCGCATTGGATTTTCCGAGAGTAGCGCGCGCATTCCCATCCTTTCCAACAGTTTTACGTCCAACGTTTCAGTTACTCACGATCCTGGCGTGGTGGTGCATCCACCGTTTGGTGAGTGCATACCTGAGAACGATGCAACTGTGTCACTAGGCCGAGTGACACGTGATCCTCTCCTTGCACGGTGCTGCTCCTCTTTGCATCCGTCGCCACGTCGAATGATCGTGTCGGGAATGCGATCTTAGACTGGCCAAGGATCGGGAAATAGTGCGTGATCTCGTTCGTCGGTTACATTGTCCCTGTTTATGTTTGCATCTCGATCGGTGCTCGAATTTCGATCGGAAACGACATTGAGAGGCGATCGATTTATTGGGTCACAGGGTGAGTCTTCCGGAGCGTTTTTACGTGACGTAGAAAAACCGGCCGATGTCGCTAGGAAGTGAAGGAAATTGCTATCAGGTGAGACACGTGGCAACACATTTGCCTGAACTTGCTTTTCGAAATGGATGCGTTGCTTTTAGACGTTTTCGTTGGAAACATGGACAAACGTCGATCCGTCGATGGAAATCTACATGAACATGCTCTGCCGATTCCAGTGCAGATGTTCTTATGGAGACAGTTGAGGTACTTTCGGAGAAATGTTTTATTTGATAGATTCATTTTGGTTATTTTGTACACTGATGATCAAAAGTTGGATTACACAATTCTTCGTCAATTTTTACCTGTAGTTTAAATTCCTGTATCTGAATCTTCAAATTTTTGTTCACATAATTTTCCTTACGTTACTTGTCACATGAAAGGACTCTGAAGTAGAGCAGTGTCACAATGTACCAATGTTTCAAAATATTTTTTATTTTAAAAAAATTTAATTGCTAATTAAAAGTTTTACATGTGATAATTTAAATATTGCAGACCATTCATTCGTGCAAAACTTGGCAAACTTCACGAGGCATCCTGCACGGTAAAAATTTTTTACACGTTTCTTTTTCAAAAAGAGTGAAAGATAATTTCTTATAAGTGTGAGTGAATTGCATAAATAATCGTTTGATTACTGCGACAAAAATGTATGGGTGTGTGGAACAATTTACAAAGAGATCCTACAGAATATTATAGCTGATGTGACCTAATAGAAATAATGTCTTAAATAAAATCTTGCAGCACGAGACACCACATCTCTGATAATTCAACCAACAGATTCGATTAAAGAAAACTTCCAAAATGTAGAAACGCTTCTGCTCCATGAACAAACGGAGGAACGAAACATCGTTCTATCCGATTTTTTCGCTTTCGTGATTGTCCTTGACGAGTTTGTTGTGCTTTTCGTTTAGAACTGCCTTATTTATTCATCATTGTATATTTGTTATGTACAACTTACCAGTCAGCTACAAAACATGTACTACAAAAGATATCAAGTTTGAGGAACATTAATGTCACTTGAACAGTGTTTACAACGCAATAACAAAATTTTGTACCTCCATTTTAATTTAATGTTTGTTCTATTTTACCTAGGACTCTTTTTTATACTATTGTTTTAAATTACTATTACCATTAATAATAATAGATGAAAATAATAAATTATCAGATTTTCGTTGAAGGTATTTATTAATTCTTCATTTTTCAATTAAATAGTATAATGTTTTATTTTAATTACAAATAAAGAACTCTGAACAATTTAGTTCAAAATTTTTTGGCACGAAATTGAACCCTTAAATTTTGAAATTCGAATTAGATTTATGATGATTTCAAAATTATAATAATTATTATGTTATAAAAATAAAATTTGATGGATTGTTATGTGCAAATAAGACCTGATAAATTTACTATTACTATTAATAGTAAAAATGAAAGTTGACGAATTTTAATATTTGTAGAAATGAAATTTGACGAAGCCTATTTATAAAAAAAATAAACCTTGATAAATTTTAACATTTGAGACATGAAACTTCATAGACTTTAACATTTATAAAAAATAAAACTTGACTAATTTTTATATTTATAGACATGAAACTTGATAAATTTTAATATTTATAAAAAATAAAGTTTGATGAATTTTAATATCTGAAAAAATAAAACTTGTTAAATTTTAATATTCATATAAACGAAACTTGATGAGTTTAAATATTTATATAAACGAAACTTGATGAATTTAAATATCTATAAAAATAAAACACATAGATTTCAATATTTATAAAAATAAAATTTATTAAATTCAAATATTTATTATAATGAAACTTAATAAATTTTAATAGCTATAAAAATGAAAATTGATAAGTTTTAATATTTGTAGAAATGAAACTTGATAAATTTGAATATTTACAAAAAAATTGATAATTTCTAATATTTACAGAAAATATCTGATAACTTCTAATATTTACAGAAAATACTTGATAATTTCTAATATTTATAAAAACGAAATTGGATGAATTTTAATATTTACATAAGTATACTTGATAAATTTTAATACGTGCAAAAATGTACTTAATAAATTTGAATATTTATAAAAACAAAATTAAAAACGCAACTTGAGTCCTAACATCAATAAAACTAAAATTGAATGAATCCCACTACGTTTAAAAGTAAAACTTGACTCCAAATATTAACAATATAAAAATTGACGAATTCTAATATTTATAAAGATATTAATAACAATGAAATAATCAAGGTGAAAGATAAGTTAGCAACAAACATGCCGTAAGTCAGTAGAAATATGTAAAGCTTTCTTGCCCTCATGGAATCCAAGGTTTACCTAAATGTTAACAGTTACTCGATACAAAGATAACAACAAAGTACATAATGTACAGCTGGATTTCATGTCGTGCAAAATCCTAATCAACCGTATCCCATCAGCTCTTTGTTTTCCAATACCTAACCCGACCTGCACTAACAAAGTAACCTCCTCCTCCACGCTGCCGCCTCCACGTGTCACCTGCAGTTCTGTCAACACGCGCCAGGCCATCATGTAAGTTCGCTAAGCCTGCCTCCTCATTTGTAAACCTACTTGTACAATTATACTTCTGCTTTTCTCTCTCTCTCTCTATTTAATTCCAGTTCGATTATTAGAGAGCACCTACTTCTCTAGAAAGACACCCACTTTGCATGTTTTTTATTGTAAATGTGCTTGCTTTCGTGACTTACAATTAGAATCTTTTAACCCTTTCGATGATAGACTGAAGGTTAATAGAAGAAAATAAATGTCGAAATGAGATGTTGAAAAATTTAAGAAGCTTGTTTTTGGAGGGTAGTTTATGCGATTTTTTAGTGTAAACATTGCTTTCGTGACTTAGAATTTTTTACTTCCAACTCTTTTTTATTTTTAACTCTTCTGGTGATATAGAATGAAGGTTAATAAAAGAAGAGAGTCAATGAAATAAGGTTTTGAAAATTTTAGGAAGGTTGTTTTTGGTTGAAATTTTATGTGATTTTTTTTAGGATGAAGAAATAAAAGATTATTTCGTAGAAAACGTTGTTAACAATGTTAACAGGTTAGGTTATGTGTTAAATAAAATTTAATATATATAGAATGTTTTAAGTCTGCAATTTAATTTAACAAGTGCGTTGGTCCATATTATTAATTTTTCTCATTATAATATTATTCATCTTAATATTACTTCAACCAGTAAGACTGAAGTATTTGCATGTGTTTATTTTAAACAGTAGTTAAAAATAAAAAATCTTCTAAATTTTAAAGCATCTCCATAGAAAAATTGAGTTTGATCCAACTTACATCCCTCTCAAAACCATGCAACTTTTTAATCCATTTCCCCCTATAAATTTATAGATTAATTGGATCAAATCAAAGTTGCATGGTTTCCAGACACAGGGCAGGTCAAATGAAATTTTCTGTGCACAAACCAAATATTTGATGATTTTCAGCAACTTTGTTATAAATTATGGTGATAATATAAATTCACTTTGTATGAAGACAAAAATCTTTTGTGTATAATCAAGCTTATGTCTTCAAAAGCAAAATTGGTTCAAAAATCCCAAATTTTATAATCTATAATTAATTTTTATAATTTAAATGTATTAGTATTATTTTTAATAATAAAATTGTTGTGAATTTTATTTGAGTTATAGTTAATTAAATTTTTGTATAACACTTCAGTATTACATAATTCTATTATAATAATCAAAAAGTAACTGTAATTAAATTTTTAAGGCAATCGTTTGCTATATTTATTAATGCTTTATATTATATTAATATATCTACTCTTTCTGCATAATAAACAATTTTTGTAATTACTTACTAATCTTCACTTACTAATTTTTGTGATTATTATGAATCACATATGGCGTGTTTGCATTGAACTCTCCCGCAACGAAAGGGTTAACGTCCATTTCAGACTTTCAGTTAAAATATCTATATACGGCTTTCTGTCATTCTTCGCCTTTGTATCGAATTTTTATACAATATCCTATACTCTATTCATCTTCTAATACTACTAAAACCATTCCACACAAGAAGACACTGAAAATGAATGTATCGTAAGTCCACATATCAGTTACACATTTTTCTAACATATCTCTCGTACATTTTTTAAACAATCACTTTTTGAATATTTGTATTGTGTTCATTTTTCGAAACGTTTGTTGGATTTCACGTTTTTGCGATGTTGTTCTTTATGTGTAGATTGATCTGTGATTTTGAAAAGTGTTTTAATCAAATTTCAATATTGATGTCAATTTTTATGAACATGTAGCTTTGTTTATATGATGTAACTATTTACTACAGCTTTGCATCGTAGCTTGTTGCAAGTGTTTTCTCTTGTTAATACTTTTTATCTATTCACGATTTAGAGTTTTTTCATTTTATGTCTTTTATGATTGGGTATTAATTTTGGTGATTTACTTTTGGACGCATACCTAGGAGACGAAGGAAGCTTGCACGGTTAGTAAAAATATAACAGAATGTCATAAATAAAATGTATTTTTGTTTTTTAAAAAAAGTTGATATCCATCTGAAGATGGAGGACTTTTTTGTGGAAAATGGCGATATAAGAAGAGACTACTTCTGCAGTCTTGCAGTGGATATTAGAAATTTAGAAAGTTTTGAGTATCCAAGTTTAGGGATTTTCATATTTATCAAATTGTCAAATTGTCAAATTGTCAAATTATCAAATTTCTAAATTTCTAAATTTCAAATTTTCAAATTTCCAAATTCTGTAATTTATAAATTTTTGAGATTCCAAATTTTACAACTAAAATCATCTAAAACTCTTAAATTGCCATATTCAACTTTTAATATTACCTAGTCCTCAAATTTCTAAATTTCAAATTTTCAAATTCTGAAATTTATCTAATTCTCAAATGTTCGAATTCCCCAACCCCTAAATTTAGAAACTTACAAATTCTTAAACGCTCAATCTCTCATCTAAAAATTCCAAATTCTCAACTTCTCAACCCTCGACTACAAATTCTCAAATTCAAACACAAGAAGAATTTGTTAAAAATTTAACAAGTTAAACTTAATTAACAAGTTAAATTTAATAAGTTAAATTTGACAAGTTAAATTTTATGTAATTTAACAAGTTAAATTTTTTTGTAATTTGATGTAAAGAAACGATACTATTTTTTGTTTTCCCTAATGATTATTCAAATAATCCAAGTGAAGTAATATATCCAGCAATCTTTTCATTAAAACAAAAGTTTTAAATCGTCGTCAATTTAAACAACCCTTCGTCTTTATAGTCCCTCGAAAAAGTGTTGGTTCAGGATCTGCACAATGATCTAACACCCTCTTTGAGCCTGATACTGGGCAAGGTGCCACGATGGCGTTTGATTCAAGCCGCTCTCCCTTACATTCTCCATGCCACAGCCAATCTGCTGCACAATAGGTTAGTTGTCTGCTTTCTTTCTCTCGAATTCTACGTCTGTTATCCGTCAATTGTTTCCGTTAATCTTCTAGGAAGGACTTTCAAAGTCTCGGGGCCATGGAAACGACGCTTCTTTATATTCTTCATTGGATACTTCTCGACGCTGCTGAAGAATGCTCGGAGCATGATGCTGATTCTGGAAATCCCTTTTATTATGTGTTTCCTATACCTACTATGACTGTAAGTAACTTTTCGATTGCTTTACTTTCATTTATCAAGTTGACTTATTGTAATTTGTCGTATTTGTAATGTGAATTGAAATCTAACAAAAAGTACAAGTACTGTGAATTTTATTGCTATGTGAGCACGAATTATATTGAGGGTGATTGTTTTATTTTTAGTTATTTAATTGCCTTCTTGCAATCTCTTGCACTTGTGATGCTCGAATCCATATACAAGGGACATTATATTGCAACAAGAATATGTTCAAAACTGATAATTTATGTTTGCTTTACTTCATTGATCAAATTACCTTATTACAATCTGTCTTATCTGTCGTACTTATGATGCTGAATCAAATCCAAATGTAATAAATGTGGATTATATTGCAACAAAAACATAAATTATCTTGTAAACTGACAATCTGTGATTGCTTTATCTTCATTAATCAAATTGCCTTATTACTATTTGATGAATTTATGTTGGTGAAAATTCAAATGCAGGAAATGTTGATCATATTCTAATGTCAACATAAATTATGTTGCAAACTGATAATCTGTGATTGCTTTATCTTCATTAATCAAATTGCCTTATTACAATCTGTCGAATTTATGCTGGTTAAAGTCCAAGTACAATGTGAATTATATTACAACTGTAAACATGTATTGCACTGCAGAATTATATTACCTGGACTGATTTTCTGTCGCTAATCAAATTGCTTTATTACAATTATTCGCAGTTGTGATTCGAGTTTACAAAATACAAGGAACATATATTGCAACATAACCATGAATTATATTGCAAAATAAAAATCTAGATTGATTTGTTATCACTAATCAAATTTATTGCAATCTGCCCATTTGTGATTTTTACGTAACTACCAATAAATTAAAATTTAAGTTTATCCTTGTTAATAATAACTAGTAATATCGATTTATTCTGTTAATTTATCTGTGACTATTATTAATTTTAAAAATGAAACTTAAGAAAGTGTAACAATTATTGTTCGCAGTTGTTCGTTTATCTGTTCGCACCTTTGTGCAATCATCTAAAGGACATCGACTTCAAAACGAATTTACGATTGGAGAACGGTTTGAAAATATGGTCGGCTATGTACGAATGTCGTCATCCGGATACGCCATGCTTTACTACGCATTGTCGGATCAAGCCACAAGTTTTATGGAGTCGGTCTTTTAAGTCTTCCAAAGTACATCAAATGTCCGATGATGTATTTGTCGGAGGAAGTGAGTTTTCACTGTTATTTCATTTTTTAACAGTACATCTGGCTATCAAATTAGAACCATCATTTTTCAGTATTATACACGCTTTCCGTAAAATTAGGTCCGTTCAAATTGTAATGATATATTACCTACCATGATTACTACTGTGCATGACATTAACACATGTTAATATCTAGTATTTCCGCCCTTTGCTTTGGTCACAGCTTCCGATATGCTCTGTATACATCATATGTTTTATATCCTCATTATTTTCCCAAATATCTGTAATTCTTTTCGACTGAGATAATGTGGTTGGACAGTTGGACATTTTCTATGGCATTCAAATTTCACCTGACGCGCTATCGATACTCGAGTCTAACGTAAACGCTTGGACGGCCCTTAATTGCTTATCACACAATTTATTATCGCGATAGTAACAAAATGCTATGTATATATCGTTATGAATGTATTTAGTAATAATTTGCATGACTTGAGAATTTTCCATATATGACATAATTATAGCTATGAAAGTGAAATTTTCATACGTAGTCCTCATTTGATGGCCAGGGATTATTTACTGTACTATCGTCGTAACAGAGTAACTGCAATAATATATTAATGTATTCAACCTTTCAAATTTCTAAATTTCCTTATTTTAACATGTGTAAATTTCCACATATTTCAACTGCCATCATTCCACATTTCTAAATTGGAAAATATGAAAACTGCAAAGTGTAATAATTTGGAACCTTGAAAATTTAAAAATTCTTATATTTCCAAATTTCTTTATTTCGACATTTGTAAATTTCCACATATCTGAACATAGTAATAATTTGCATGATGTAAGAATTTTCCATATATGACATTATTATGGCCATAAAAGTCAAGTTTTCGTACGTGGTCCTAATTCGATAGTCAGGGACTGCACTATTTACTATACTACCATCGTGATAGAATAACTGTAATTTTACTGTACTATTATGATGACAGAGTAACTGCAATAATTCATTATTCAATATTTTTTAATTTAAACCCTTCGCTGTGAACAGCTTATGTAGTTAGTTAAGATACTGATTTTGCAAGTTTGATCAAAAATGACATAATTTGATGACAAGAATATCAGTTTGAATTTGCTTGATTTAAACGTTTATAAACTTGTGCAAAATTCATTACACTGTTTTCAGATGTGGAAAGTCCACCCAGTCAATCAGTTAGCGCTGTTTCGGAACAAAGCGTTGATAAAATGTCGTCAAAGCAGCTGGACGATGATGTAAGCATACCTCCATTTCATTTTAAAAAAATACATTAAGAAGAAGTGGGGTAAGTTCGTAAACGGGGCAAGTGCGTATACAGGCTATTTTTATTACAATATAAAGCGAAATTTCTCCATTTAGTATGTTTGTTTCCTTGTTTTGTTTCACTATATCGCTTTTATATTTCAATTAAGAGTACTTGTTTGCAGTATAGAGTACTTGCATAATGCAGTAAAAAGCATTTTATGGCACATTTGTTAATAATTCTGCTCTTGCCCCAGTGCACATGAAATAAAGTTTCAAAGTATTTAACTTC